GTGCAGATTAGGTGGGTAAGAACACTCTTTAACAGCAGACTGGATTGAGCTGACTAGTTGGAGCGCTGCAGATTCTATTTCATTGCATGTTTTAAGGGAAATTTTTAAGTTTGTATGATTTTCTAATGTCGTAGAAAATCGTTTCCAGTTGACTGGACCTTTGGATAAGGAGGGACGAGGAGGAATAAGAAGTGGAGGTTCCATAATGCTTAACATAACGGGGGAGTGATCGGAAGATAGGTCGCTTATGTTTTGAATAGTGTGATTTATGTGGTTGAGAATTGACGATATAAAAAAATCTAGTAAATCGGGTTGTCTATTCGAGTGAGTAGGCCAATAAGTAGGACCAGTGGGTGAAATAACTGAAAACCCCTTTACCTGTATGGAATTATAAAATAGTCGACCTCTAGGATTTTCAACCCGACTACCCCACAAGAGGTGTTTGGCGTTGAAATCTCCCCCGGCAATAAATGTACGCCCTAATGAGGATAAGAACTGGTCTAAATGGAGCTGAGATATACATGGCCGAGGAGGACAGTATACTGCTGAAAAAGTTATAGGAATATGATTTATTGAAATTGAGACACTTGTTGCTTGGATGGTAAGGATTTGAAAATACGGTAGTGGATGGTGTTGGATTGAGGATGAGATTAAAATAGCGGTACCCGCGTGTGACGTACCGTGTTAAAATTAAAGATTAAATATAGCAAATGGGTTATCAGCAATTTTGAAGAGTTTATAATTATTTTGAATAGACTTCTTAAAAATCTAAATGTGTAAAAAATAACGTGCATAAGTATTGTTCAAATAATAAACACATGTTTTTGTGCTTAAGACAAAAAAAATATTAAGGTTACATAATATTTGAAAACAACTACTTGTTTTTACGATTCATAGGCTGTAGCCACGATTATTAATTTTATAATTTCAACCTATATTGAAAAAACAATATACATATGCATTTATTAGGTTTTACACTGAAATCGCAAAAACATCACAGCCAGGCTAGAGCAGAAAAATATTTTGCACGTGTATTGTTCAAATAATTACCTACATGTTTTTGTATTAAACTAAAAAAGTATGAAGTTACCTAAATACGAATTTATCGATTTGAAGCGATACCAATTTATCTTATCTAATATACAATACGAACAGAGGCCTCTTAAAGAATAAATAAAGGTATGCAAAATAAGTAGAAAAATAATGTGCATAAGTATTGTTCAAATAATAAAAACCATGTTTTTGTACTAAACACAAAAATAATAAGGTTACTCATATACAAATATATCGAAATTTTAAGTTGAGAAATATGTACATATTTTGAAGGGGAAGGGGTGGATTTTGTTATTATTAGCCAAATAAAGTACCTACCTTCTTGTTGAGCCATCGTATTATCCAATAAAGGATATTATAAAAAAAAAATCCTTTCAGGTAGTATTTTATTACAATAATCCTAAAATAGATATTATTTGAATTTTAAATTTATTAATTTCGCACTTTGTAAATTAAGTGTTAATATATGTATATAAAATGGGATGAAATGAACCTAACCTATAGTAAATAAGTAAAAAAATAATGTGCATGGGTATTGTTAAAATAATGAAAAAAAACGAATTGCTACTGTAATTTTGTGCATGGGTAGGGATATAAAACATAGGAGAAGAACGAAGCGATACCTGTGGAACATTTATGGGTATCTGATTCAACATTTCTGGACAGTCAATTTTATTATTAAGTAAATTATAAATCCAGTTTACGTCCAAGCATTTTCTTCTGCATAACAGGGACTGCATTTTCAAATTATTAAGCAGATAATCATGTTTAATTTCCCTATTGTTTGTCCAGTGAGATACTAAAGTTAAAAATCGATGTTGTAACGATTCAGTTTTATTGATATCACCAGCAAAATATGTAGACCATACAATAGATCCATACTCCAAGATAGACCGAACAAGTGCAATATATAAGGTTTTTAAGCATGCAATATTTTGCTTTGTTACAAATATATGTGATGTGTTTCGTAAAAGATAAGTCACTAGATAGAAAAATAATAATATCAATATGGTAGTAATAGATACATTTTTTGTTTTTGTCAAACGGCCAAACACCTACTGTTTTATCAAATGTATTGATTTCGTACATCATAAATAATGTGTTAAAATTAAAGATTAAATGTATGAAATGGGTTATCAGAAATTTTGAAGATATTGTAATTATTTTAAATAGACTTCATAAAGATCTAAAGGTGTGCAAAATAAGTAGAAAAATAACGTGCATAAGTATTGTTCAAATAATAAAAAAATATGTTTTTGTACAAAACACTAAAGAAAATATTGAGGTCACATAATATTTAAAAACAACTGCTGGTTTTTTATGATTCATAGGCTGTAGTCACGATTATTAATTCTAAAATTTCAACTTATATTGAAATAACAATATACATATGCATTTATTAGGTTTTACACTGAAATCGCAAAAACATCACAGCCAGGCTAGAGCAGAAAAATATTTTGCACGTGTATTGTTCAAATAATAACATGTTTTTGTATTGAACTAAAAACGTATGAAGTTACCTAAATAACAATTTATCGATTTGAAGCGATACCAAATTATCTTATCTAATATACAATACGAATACTTCTCGTTAGAATACTAACATTTTTTCTAGTTAAAATAAATAATGATAATGACATTTTAGCTTTGTAAGATTTTCGATTCTTGGCTGGAGATAAATAAAATGTCTTATCGACCAAAATACAAAATTACAGTTCTTCTGAAATAAAATGTTGGTTATTTTACAACTGTTGTTGTTTATTTATGACCCAAAAAGTGTTTTAATCAAAAATATTATTGACATTTTCATGTCTTTACTCTGGCACATAACCGAAAAAATCGTTCATTACAAAAGCATTACAAAACCGTTACAGTGGGGTAGGAGATAGGGGTAGGAGATAGGGGTAGGAGATAGGGGTGGGAGATAGGGGTGGGAGATAAGAGATATGTTGTACGTTCAACGTTCAAATTAGAACAAAATGATAAATTCAATATAAATTAAGGGCCAAAATTAAGTTACTTGTGGCCAGATCATATAAAAATTTAGATGAGTTGTAGGATTATAATGAAAAAAAATATTCCATGGAGCTTCCAGTTACAGCATATGGTCAAGGAGATTAAAAAATTATGTACAATCAAATTTCTGGCTAATATTTTAGTGTTTTCATAAAATCTGGTTTGAAACAATTCGACCTGTTAAATTACATTGAATTTAATTTTGACATTTTCATGTCTTAGCTCTAGCACATAACCGAAAAAGCGTTGCCAAAAAAGCGTTACCAAAAAAGAAAAGGGGTTGGAGATGATGTTGGGGGTGGGAATGGGGATGGGGGTGGAATTAGCTGTGGCAAATAACCGAAAAAAACATAACGAAAAAAGTGTTACCAAAAAAAGCGTTACGCTGTTATCTGATAAGAGATAAGAGATGTTGTACGTTTAACGTTCAAATAAGAACTAAATAATAAATTCAAAATAAAGTAGTTTAATTTTGAACATTCTCTATGTTAAGTTACTTTTGGCCAGATAATAAACACTACAATATTAGCCAGAAACTTGATGTTTTAATATACTAGCTCGTTACTACTTCTTAATATACTATATTATTATCTATAATTCCATTACTACTCTAAATTTATTCGGTACTTCAACGAGACTTGAAAAATGCACTTTCGTGGATGCAGACTCGGCTGATAAACTGTTTTTTTTAAGAATTAAAAACATAGTTATTATCAAAGGTAGTTTCTAAAATAAAAACTTGAATAATTCTATCATATATACTACTTGAATTTCAAATCTTCTGATTTCGCACTTTATAAATAATGTGATAATTTTAAAGAATATATATATATATATGAAATGTTTCAAACCTATGTTGTATAGTAAATAGTAATATTGTTCCTAAAACGAATGATTAATATCGTCCCAAATGATATAACTAAACATCAAATTCTTTATAATTAATTTTTTTTACAAGCTCATACTTATAATTTTTAAATAATTGGAGTGATTGAGTAATCGTGTATACAACTACTTATATGCAGACGGTTTTTAATATGTTAAAATGAATCTTCAGAAATTGAAATCTATTAAAATAATATCAAATTCGGTGTAGTATTAAAACTCGTTTGGGGTGAATTGAGATGGAAAATTCTGAAAGACTTTTCGTGTATCTTTTCACCAGTACAATACTAAACTATTGTCCAAAGATAGTATGTTCAAACCTTGCTTCATTCGTTTAAAATATAGAATTAAAATCCCGGATTCCTAACTTGGTTAAGTTTCCCATTGTAATCATATGAAACAAACATAATACAAATAATAAAACGTCTAAAATAACAATATCAATTTGGAAGTGATTTGAAAAACAAAATTTTTCTATAACACATTTATTCTTCAAAAAGTTTAAAGACGGATGAGTAAACAAGTAATAGCTAAATTGTTTGTTTATGTCAAGTGGCAAAACAACTACTATATTTTTACAATCCATTGGCTATAGCCAATGGATATAGCCACGATTATTTATTTTAAAATGGAATTTTAAACTACATTGAACAAACAAAATACATATGCATTTATACAAGTTTTATACGTTTTACACCGAAATCGCTACAACAGAAACCATTTAAAAGAATAAGCATCATTTAAGTTTTAAACAACGGCAGAACAGTATTCGAATATCTTAGGCATTGAAAAAAAACATACAATCATGAATTTTAAGAATTGTATATTGTTTTTATACTTGTTTGTTCATTTGTATACAGCAAATGCAGGGATTTGCGAAGATCCGTCGGTAATTAAAATTTTTTTCTATCTAATTATATGATTCATTAAAAAAAAAATGTAATTCTCTATAAATCTATTGATTAATAAAATAGTAAAAATTCGAGACACATAAATTCTAAAAAAACAGTATTCACATTGCATATTAAAAATGTTAATAATTTTAGGAACTAGCCACACTTTATAATAGCATTTTAAATCAAGGCAAATCTGTCAACATGGCTACAGTAAAAGAGTACATATTACAAGAAGACGTACGCGTGGAATTCGATTTGTCTATATTCGATGACGATAGGATACTCAGTTCCGTGTGGAGTACGTTGAATAATATTTATAATTAATTAATCGATATTGTAAGATATAAGTGTGAAATGTGAAAACTAATAATCACTTCGATGTTTTACATAAATAAATATCGACAGGTATTGACACAGGTAGTGTGTTTTTTCTAACATTTCTGAGGGGTATTTATAATATTATGAAACAGGCGTCGGGGGTAAAAAAAAATGCAGAAGGCGTCTGTAAAGGTAGTTAGGTAGAACAAGTTACTATACAAATATAAGACGCTTTTATCTTGTTTTTTACAAATCGTGTTAAAATATGGAACGTTTTATAATAGTTACACTTATTGTAATAATTATTGAAGCATTCATATAACGACATTCCCAAAGAATTTTTTTTTGTCAACGCGATTGTAGTTTGTTTGAAAACTGAACAAGCGGACAGTTAAAATTATTGTTTTTAGGTCATTTTGATGTGTAGTACCCTCAATAACCAAAGTTAGTTCATAAAAACGCAATAACAATAATTGCAACAACTCCATCCGTTACAGCATATTATAGTTTGGTAAATTTGAATGTGAATACTTTTTTAATGCTTTCTAGGTATTAAAATGTCAAAGGACGAATTTATAACACTAATAACATCAAGATTTACTTATTGGGTAATTATGATTTTTTTTTTTATCCAGTATCCTAATATATGATATAATTAAAAAAAAACATTTTATGATTTTAGCAACTATATAATATTTTTACGGATATCCACAATTACGATTCAGTTAACAAGAGTACAGTTAAAGAGTATTTACGGAAGACACTACATCTGGAAGAAATCGAAGTGATAACTGCACCATTGAAAGGTACGTAGAAAGAACAAGTTATAAAAATGTAAAACATCTTTATCTTCTTTTTCTACGAAATATGTTACAAAACAATTTTATGACGGTTGGACTGATTTTATTTAATATTGAAGTATTAATTTTATAACATTCCTCATGAAATTTTTTTCGACGCGATTTAAAATTATTTTAAAACTAAATTATTGATGGCTTCTCATAACACCCGTCATGGCCAAACTTTGTACATAAAAATGCACTAATAATAATTGCAATCACTCGACAGCATTGTATAGTTTGATAAACTTTAATGTGAATACTTTTTAATTTATTGCTAGAAACTGGTATGACATGGGACGAATTTTATTCATTAATGGTTTTTAAAAGTCATCCTATACGCTACAGTATCGACCAGTTGAGGATTTAAACATTTGCAACCCCCAAGCAAGTAATATGTTCACTCTTACACGTTTTTGTTTTTTCTTCAACTCAAGGACATTAAATTTTATATAATTTTATATTTTGTATTATTATCGTATTGTTAATTTTTTTTTTTTATTAATATTTTAGGGCTACAATTTACTGCAACATCCTATCGCCGTTCGCTGTATTGATAAAATCATACTTTTTAAATTATTCAATTTAAGTTTATTTAAATCAAAATTCAAGGTTTATGTATTAATTTTTAAAACTTTAGAGGGTGTGTGTTTTTATTGTATTAATTGAATACTGTACTATTTGGGTGATTTGAAAATTGTATTTTTAAATATTATAAATTTATAAAAATTTTAAATAACTAGTTTTCAGAATATTAAAATTACAAATTAACCATATTTGCTCCGTCTTAGTTTTTGATAATACATATAGTATACACATACACACACACACACATACATATATGTATATATAACATATTCAAATTAAACTAAATATATATTACAGAATATATATATATGAAATAGGGTATCAGAAATGTTTAAGAGTTTATAATTATTTTAAATAGACTTCTTAAAGATCTAAAAGTGTAAAAAATTAGTAGAAAAATGACGTGCGTAAGTATTATTCAAATAATAAAAAAACGTGTTTTTGTACTAAAAACAAAAAAAAAATTAAAATCACATAGTATTTTAAAAAAAAAACCACTTGATTTTTACGACTAGGCTGTAGCCACGATTATTACTTCTACAATTTCAACTTATATTAAAATAACAATATACAAATGCATTTATTAGGTTTTACACTGAAAACGCAAAAACATCACAGCCAGACTAGAGCAGAAAAATATTTTGCACGTGTATTGTTCAAATAATAACAAATTTTTGTATTAAGCTAAAAACGTATGAAGTCAACTAAATTTGAATTTAATAGTTCGAAGCGATACCAATAATTATCTTATCTAATAAAAAATACGAATACTTCTCGTTTAAATACTAACATTTTTTCTAGTTAAAATAAATGATGAGTAATGAAATTTTTAGCTTTTTTTAAGATTTTTGATTCTCGGCTGGAAAAAATAATAATATGTCTTATAAACCAAATTAAAAATTACAGTTTTTTTGAAATAATTTTTTGGTTGTTTAACAACCATCGTTGTTAATATATAACCGAAGTATTTATATTTAAAATATTATTTCGAAAATTAAAAACGTTATTGTTATTATCGATGGTTATTAGTAAAATAAAAAGTATTATAATCCTATCATATAATATACTACTTGAATTTCAAATGTATTAAATCCGTACATTATAAATAACGTGTTAAAATTAAAGATTAAGTATATAAAATGGGTTATCAGCAATGTTGAAGATGTTATAAGAATTAATTTTCCTAGGGACTTAAAGATATAAATTAACTGTGCATTGTTTTGACACTTTACTATTTTTTCGTATATTATACAAACGTATAAATAACGTGCATAAGTATTGTTCAAATAAAAAAAAAACATATTTTTGTACTTAAGAGAAAAAAAATATTGAGGTCCCATAGTATTTGAAAAACACAACTTGTTTTTTACGACTAGGCTGTAGCCACGATTATTAAATCTAAAATTTCAACTTATATTAAAATAACAATATACATATGCATTTATTAGGTTGAACAAACAAAATACATATGCGTTTATACAAGTTTTATACTTTTTGCACTGAAATCGCTATGACAGAAGCCGTTTAAAAGAATAAGAATCATTTAAGATTTAAACAACGGCAGAACAGTATTCTAATATCTTAGGCATTGAAAAAAAACATACAATCATGAATTTTAAAAATTGTATATTATTTTTATATTTGATTGTTCATTTGTACACAGCAAATGCAGGGATTTGCGATAATCCGTCGGTAATTTAAAATGTTTTCTATCTAATTATAGGATTCATTAAAAAAAATGTAATTGTCTATAAATGTATTGATTAATATAATAGTAAAAATTCGAGAAACATTAATTGTAAAACAGTAGTATTCACATTGTTTACTAAAAATGTTATTAATTTTAGGAACTAGCCAGACTTTATACAAAGATTTTAGATCAAGGCAAAGGTTACCAAGGTGTTACCAAGGCTACAGTGAAACAGTGCATAATACAAAAAAACGTGATCAATGAATTTAATATTTCTACAAGAGATGAAAATAAGATACTTAGTTCCGTGTGGGGTACGCTGAATAATAATAATAATTTATTAATTGATATTGTAAAATATATATGTGAAATGTGAAAACTAATAATCACTTCGGTGTTTTACATAAGTAAATAGGAATAAATATCGATAGGTATTGGGTAGTGTGGTTTTTCCAACATTTCTGAGGGGTATTTATACTATTATGAAAAATTCGTCGGTGGTAAAAAAAAAAAGTTTTTCAGCCGAGTCTGCAGCCACGAAAGAGCATTTTCTTGTCTCGTCAAAGGACCGAATAAATTTAGAGTAGTTGTGGAATTATAGATAATGAAATAGTATATTAACAAGCTAGTATCTAAGGTGGCTAGTAAACACATCAAGTTTCTGGCTTATATTTTAGTGTTTTCATAATATCTGGCCTTAAACAATTCATAGGAAATATGACCTGTTAAATTACATTGAATTTATTTTTCAGTTTTAATTTGATCGTTGTGAAATGTAACGCTTTTTTCGATCATGTGCCAGAGCTAATTCCCACCCCCAACTCCATTCTCAGAACAAGTTACTATAAAAATATAAAACGCTTTATCTTGTTTTTTACAAATCTTGTTAGAATGTGGAACGTTTTATAATAGTTACACTAGTTGTAATTGTTGCGGCACGATAAGAATAGCAATAGCTGTACCCGGCCACAACCGGTCAACCAGCCCATCCCGCTACTAGCCGCCGCACTGATAACACGTACGATCACGTACACTGCCGGTCAGCTGTTCACACACACACACACACACACAGACTGACCGGTAAGTTAGAGCAATTGGTGACCCAGTAAGCGGCCTAATACTGTTCGCCCTGGGTCCGAACAGTAATAATTATTGAAGTATTCATATAACGACATTACCAATGAATTTTTTTTGTCAACGCGATTGTAGTTTGTTTGAAAACTGAACTCTATCCGTTACAGTATATTATAGTTTGGTAAATTTTAATTTGAATCATTTTTTAACGCTTTCTAGATACTACAATGTCACAGGAGGAATTTATAACAACAATAACATCAAGACTTACTTTTTGCGTAATTATGATTTTTTCCTATCCTAATATATGATATAATTAAAAAAAAAAAATTTTATGACTAGCAACTCGCTAATATTTATAATGAATTCGACACAAACTGTCCAGTTAACAAGAAAGCAGTTCAAGAGTATTTACTGAAGAGAAAAGACTATTATGAACTAAATGTCGATGATATCAAAGTGATAACTAAACCATTGAAAGGTACGTAGAAAGAACAAGTTATAAAAATGTAAAACACTTTTATCTTCTTTTTCTACGAAATATGTTACAAAACAATTTTATGACAATTAGACTGATTTTGTTTGATATTGAAGTATTCATTTTATAACATTCCTCATGAAATTTTTTAACATTTTCATGTCTTAGCTCTGGCACCCCTATCTCCCAACCCCTATCTCCTACCCTATCTCCCATCTCTATCTTCCACCCCATATCTCCTATCCCTATCTTCCACTCCCTGTCTCCCAACTCCTATCTTCTACCCCCTGTAACGCTTTTGTAATGCTTTGGTACAGAACGCTTTTGTTAAGAACGATTTTTTCGTTACGCTTTTTTGATAACGCTTTTTTCGGTTATGTACCAGAGCAATTACATAAAAATGTCAAAAAGCGTTACGCTGTTATCTGATAAGAGATAAGATATATTATGTTGTACGTTCAACGTTCAAATTATAACTAATATTATAAATTCAAAATATTTTTAGGGCCCAAATTCTCTATGAATTGTTTTAAGCCAGATATGAAACACTAAAATATTAATCAGAAACTTGATATGTTTCCTAGCCACCTTAGATACATGAAAATGCTCTCTCGTGGTGTCAGACTCAGCAGAAAAAATGCTTTTTTGACACAATTTTAAATTATTCAAAAACTAAATTATTGATTTAAGATGGCTTTTCATAACACCCGTCATGGCCAAACTTTGTACATAAAAACGCAATAATAAGAATTGCAACCACTCAACTCGTTACAGCATTGTATAGTTTGATAAAATTTAATGTAAATACTTTTTAATTGATTTCTAGATGATGGTATGTCATGGGACGAATTTTATATATTAATGGTTTTTAAAAAATAATGAATATGCTACAACACCGGCCGGTGGTGGATTTAAACATTTGCAACCCCCAGGCAAGTAAAATGTTCACCCTTACACATTTTTTGTTTCTTCCTCAACTGAAGGATATTACATTTGATGTAATTTTACATATTGTGTTATTATTATCGCATTGTTAATTTTTTTTTGTATTAATATTTTAGGGCTACAATTGTACTGCAACATCCTATCGCCGTTCGCTGTATTGATAAAATCGTACTTTTTAAATTATTTAATTTAAGTTTATTTTCCAATAACTAAAAATAATAATTCATGCATAACTGTCTGAAATCGGGTGAAACTGTAATTTTCAAAAGATATTAGTTTTTAGCTATAGAATTGAAATTTTTGGAACTTCACATTGCACCTAAGAAATATTGTAAGCATTTCAAAATTGTCCTTATTTTATTAATTACGTATATTAATGACTACGAACTGTCTGTTTATAAGTCTAAAATATTGTTAAAGTCTCCAAATACATTATAAGTTATAACTATTATTTTAATAAAGTTTCTTTTTTACAGTCTGGAAATTGTTTTCTGTACTTACTTACAACTAAAAAACCAAGTTCTTAATACTTGTACATTTGACAGCAATATACTTCCTGATATTTAATTTGAATAATTATTAATAAAATGAATGTTCTTAGAAATATCCAAGGAATCAAATGTCTATTTGGAACATGAAAAAATGAGTCATAGCGAATGTACACGTCATTATATGAGCTTTTTTTACACCGTCTGGTGTTGACAAATAATTGTACTACAATTTTGAGAACGTTAGGTTTTTTAAAGCCATGTCCAATTAAAGTTGACGATTGAAAACCGGTAAATTTTTTTGGGGGTTTTTTTGGTTTTGAGGTACTACACGAGTAAATTGGTTCACATAAAACAAATGTTATCGTGTTAAGAAAGGTATACAATAATAAAAAAATAAAATATGCTTTGTATTTTTCTAGCAAATGTATCACGGTTCTATCGAATATATTATCCAAGAACATAACAAAACATGTTTTGGCAAAAGCAACACTGAACCGTGAAGAAAATATTGTTTTACTGTTCATTCGTCATTCGTCTATGGTGCCAATAGTACTACAACTATATTTAATAGAATTCTTATTATAATTAAAACATTTTTTTACATAATATGCATTTCAAGAGCGCCATTATTGTCTGCGCGCTGTATTTCCTAACGTCGTCTTGAAAAAATGAAATAAAGAAAAATATTCTATCCCTTCTGGGGGAATGGGTTTATATTTTTTTGTTTTGTTAATGCTAAACGATAGTACTATGTTTGAAGAACAATTCATATAAGTTTGGAACTTTTTCGACTATTTTTAAAAAAGTTATAGAGCACCGTAATTTTAAGTTGAACAATGTGTACATCATAATCAAAGAACGAAAGACATGATTAAAATAACAATACTTTAGGTCACTGTCAAGAATGTAATATGATTTAAACGGAATATATTCTATACCGTCAAACGTTGTTAAACCAAAAACATATAATAAACCAATTCCTTGTGACGATGGGGTGGGCCCTTTTCTTTATATCACTTTTTTAGATTAAGTTTTAGGTTTAAGGTTCTGATAATTAGGCCGAAGGTAGATTTAGAGTGGGACTATAATGTATACCAATTTTTTTTTTAAATCTGTAGTCAAACTTTATTAAATATAACAAAAATTATCCGATGAATCATTATGAAAGGCAGACGAGTATTTTACGGAAAACAAGTGGTTTTTTCGCCATTTATTAGTTGTAGTTTTGACCTGAGACATTTGTGAATCTTTTAAGCCACAATACAGCCCTATTAGTGGGATATTTTTTAAAAAAATTTAGTTTTTTTGAAATTTTTGAGCTAGGTCGAAATTTTGGTTTTTTGTCAATTTTGACAATTTAAATCACACAAATGGGCAATTTTACCGGATTGTCTGATTAAAAACAAAATTCTCTGTATCCTTGGTAACCACAACAATGGTAACCAAAACCGTGGTAACCTAAGTAACCATAACCGTGGTAACCTATGTAACAATAACTGGGTAACCTTAGTGACCACATCCATGGTAACCTAGGTTACCACAACCATGGTTCTTCACAGTACAGTCCTAAAAGTGGGATATTTTTTAAAAAAATTTAGTTTTTTTGAAATTTTTGAGCTAGGTTGAAATTTTGGTTTTTTGTCAATTTTGACAATTTAAATCACATAAATGGGCAATTTTACCGGATATTCTGATTGCTGACAAAACTCTCTTGAGTTTGATCTAGGTGATTTAGTGTAAATAAAAAATTTCAAAAAATACCGCGCTAATAGGGCTGTACTATGGCTTAAAAGATTCACAAATGTCTCAGGTTGCTTTTAACGGATACATATGTGTAAATTAAACAAATATTTTTACAAAGCAAGAATAAACTAGGTTTAGCCAAGGTATGTCCAACACAAATAGCACACTGATGACTACTTAAATCCGCTCAAACCTAGATCAAAGTCAAGATAATTTTGTCTGCTATCAGAATATCCGGTAAAATTACCCATTTGTGTGATTTGAATTGTCAAGATTTACAAAATACCAAAGGTTCGACTAAGCTCAACATTTTCAAAAAAATGCATTTTTTTTCCAAAAATACCACACTAATATTTTTTAGACATTGACTGTGGCAAAATTTTAAAATAATTTTTGTTCATTGATTATTTTTTACATTGAATTAATTAATTAACTAACAATAGTTTTGAAATTGTGCCATGATCGATGCCTTGAAAATGTTATGAAGAAATTAAATGTTTTTTTTTAACTTAAAGCGAAGTATTCTTAGGAACAGTATGAAGTAGAAGCATATGTTTTTGTACAAAAATAGATTGTACACGCGTTATAAATATTGAAAAAAAATTAAAAGCTCCTTCTTTCTCATGGTATTATTTATGTTTAACAATTTTAGCTTGTGTTAAGTTTGAGTTAAAATTGCCCATATAATGCGCCTTAATAATATGCTATTTTTTTGAGTTTACTGAGTACTATATTATAATAATATAGTGTTTTCAAAAATTCCACACATGCCCAGAGAGAAAATTCAAGGAAATAGAAATACAACGATTCAAAAAAAAATACAGGTATTGGGTATTATTTCTTATCCTGCGCCGTTGCCCCAATGATAGGGCGTGACCTATCGGACAAACGGTGTACCAGCAATATGGAGACAGTCGCCACCTGACGGTGGTAAGTACATTGCTTAAAAAAGATTTCACATCGCTTTTTATTTTCAGATTTAAATTGTCTTAAGTTAAGACTATTAACTATGTGGCGTGTTTTAAGACACTGGTCTAGTCCGATTGACTACTATACTATACTAGATACTATACTAGATAAAATTCAAAATCATGTTTATAATTATTTTATATCAATTCCAGAGTTCTGTCATACAACTTTTTATTTTTCATTCTGATTGTACAGATGGCGCAACTGTATTAATATAATATCTACTATGATGGTCGTCCGTAAACAGTGTACCACTTTTCTTAGAAGAACTTCTACTTCTTCGCATTTTCTCATACAAAAGGGGCCAAATTCACTTCACAAATTTATCTACTACGATTACTTTATGATTTACAAACATCTGCTTGGCTTTATGACATCCAGCCACTTTTTTTTCGACTAATCTCTATCACCAGGTTTACTAGGTATTTTATTTTCCTTCCTTATTTAAAAATTGTATTCAATTAGATAGTATATAGAAATAATACGGCTATTAAAAGATAGCTGACAACTGCATATACTTACATTGCACATCCCACATGACAAATTTTATTTCAGATATTTTAAGGCGGAAATAGGAAAGGCAATTTATTGATATTTTTGCGAAGTCTGTAAACATTAGGAAACGGAGTCTGTATTTTTAGCCTTTAGGTCATGATTGTGCAAATACCATCAAACGATATTATTTGTTAAGGTTTCATGGAAACGGTATTGCGAGGAAAACGTAAAGCCGTATTTTTTAACTATGTGAACAAAATACCATACTAACTTTCCCATCCAGCAAACAATATTTTTATCAAACTTCTGTCCTTCCGGGTAAGAACTTCCCATACAATTGAAGACAACTATTTTCACCCGCCACTTCGGGTAATGAGGTTTTGTAAAATATTAATCTGAATGCGTTTGTTGCGTTTGCCTGATATAAAGACTATGTATACAAGTGATGTATGAGCTGCTATTATTTTATTTGGGTTTTAACAAAAACAAACCAATTTAAATCTTTTACCTTAACCTGCGGTTTTAATCCTCCCTCTAAATAACAGCCATAATTAAAAACAGCAATATATACATTTTCACGCTTGGGTTAAAAAATACTGATGAGATACGCAATTCGCTACAACTAATTTATGCGAACCATCTTCTAAATTTTTCCCGTTATAAGCGCCACAGGCCGCTTCCAAATTTTCTCTTATGAACCCCTTTTTTAGTTTCTTAACAATTTCAAGTATGTGTAATAGTAATTTTGTTGAATTTAGCGTTCAGTTAAGTGAATATATTTTTGTACTTCAAAATTGGTGCAATATTTCGTTTCAGTTTACTCAACTTCTTGTAACATTAATAATGGATCATTTAATAACATACAGTCAGAATGTATCGATCTAAGAAAATGTACTCTTACAATCCCGGAAGTTTTCAATGGCCTTTTGAAGCTACGTGCGAATATTACAGCTGGTCCAGATCAAATTCCTGAGATTTTTTTTAGAAATTGTTGCTATTCCCTTACTCGCCCTATGCATTTCCTTTTTTCATTATCCTTGCCGTCAGGTACTTTCCCATCATGTTGGTAAACTAGCTACATTTATCCAATTTTTAAGTCTGGGCCTAGATCAGATGTACGAAATTACAGACCGATAACTAGGCTAACTCATTTCTATCTAGTGACTATCTTTTACGAAACACATATATATTGCACTTGTTCGGTCTATCTTGGAGTATGGATCTATTGTATGGTCTACATATTTTGCTCGTGATATCAATAAAACTGAATCGTTACAACATCGATTTTTAACTTTAGTATCTCACTGGAC